ATCAATATAAGCTTGAATTGATTTCTTTGTAAAACAGCATGTCATTTTTTTCATTAGCTGCACATAATCTGTATTTATTCTTTTTTTACTTTTCAAATTCTTATTTAATTTCTTAAATTGTTCCTCTGAAAACTGTCAAGGAAATGTTTTGAGCACATTATCATTAATGCACTTAGGAATGTTATATATTCACTCAATGTTTCTTTACAAACTGAATGGGCCGTTTTCTTTTCTGAATAAACAACCATGATTTTACACACTAGAGAAATCTTAGATGTTTCATCCTCCCCTTAGATCTAGCATTCTCCTTTTTCATCCTCTCTTTATAAGTATAAAATTTGGCTTTCAGCAATTAACAGAATTATAGCTTTATAGAACAGCAAATATTTAAATAAAGAAATTATATGTTTATTTAAATAAATGAAGCAATCTGGCCAATCACAGGAACCTTTGTCAACCATTCATGAATATTCCACAGCTGCATGGAATTGCACAAAACGTATAGTTCCCTCAAAATGCAGGACAGCTTCTGTAAAGCAGTAGAGTGAACATTCCTGCTACAGATGAACCTGATGTATGAAGATACAACTGAGTCGTGCAACAAAATAAAAGCATTATTTAGACTCCATCAAAAAGTAGTAATTTGTTTATTTGTTTACAGGGCTTGTCAGCCATGCCAGCCAGTTTTTTTAAAAAAAAAATTATTTGGAAAGCCTACTTCTATCCAAATTTAGACACTTAAAAAGCCAACATTTTTAAGCACCTTTGGGATAAGATTTGAATGTCAAGTTAAATGATAATTCAAATATGGGATTACATATAAATATTGTCCTATGATATCATACCACATTATAGGATTTATGAAACAGCTGCCATACCTTTAGCATACTTTACTAGGGAATTATTCTTTTCAGGAAATAACAGATTTATGTTCATTTTGGATCTCTTCTGTCATCCCTTTGAAATTGGCCAGGTCAGGAAACAGATTCCACAAAGACTATTGGAATTATTACTGTAGAGTACAATAATAGAATTTTGAAAGCCTTACAGTTCTCTCCCATCTCTTATATGAAAAAGAATAAAGCAGGGAAATCTTGAGTTTCTTTCTAACTAGGAGGATATTTACATGATGTTTTTGCAGACCTTCAAGTTTTTCTCTGTATTGCTCTACTCCTTTGCAACATACAATTCTATCAAACCATGGTATTCTTAGAACTACCTGCAAGGGATAAATTATGGAGATACGCATTTCAGTGGTTCCACTTACATCTACAGGGGACAGAATGATTTGAACCCTTATTTGCTGCAATGTGGGGTGTCTACTACTCAGTCATCTTTCCTACGTTATACAATATCTGTATATTTATTTACTTAATTATATTTCAATTTTTATGGCTGTCCATCTCAAATTCATGATTTTGAACAGTTAACAGCAGCAAAAAGCACCATATAAAGTACATAAGATTAATACATAATTTGCATACTTAATTTACATAACACATACATAATAAACAGGCAAGATGAAAACCAAAACAACCAGCAAATAAATGAATACAAGTGTTGCACCGGCTCTGTCACACATCTGGATCTCCAAGCTTGGTGACACAACCCTGTTTTAAAAGCCTTATGGAAAACCAGCAGGATTGGGACTAATGTAATCTACAGGGGATTGTACAGGTGGCCATAAGAAAACTTTTCCTAGATCTTGCCAAATGACACTGATAGATGGGTCCTGTAGCATGGCTGTCCTGATGGACCTAATGGAACAGATAGACACAATCGGCTGTATGTCAGGAATTACCATGCCTTACTGCAATTACCAGCATGATGAACTGAACCCAGAAGTATACTGGCAACCATTGCAGCTTTTTGTGCACTGGTGTATTATGTGCTGATTGAAGAAAACACACAACTAACTGCCTATTGCATTCTGTAACTGCTGCAGCTTCTAAATGCACTTCAAGTGCAGCCCCAGGTAAAGCATTCTGCAGTTTAGGAGATAATTAAGGCGTGAGTAACTGTAAGCCCAGCCTCCCACTCCAGGGACAGATGCAACTGGAGTATAATATGAAGTTGTGCAAAAGCCCTTCTGGCCATTATTGCTATCTGCTCCTCAAACAGGAGCCATGAGTCCAGGCAAGGCAGGTTGGGCTTTGATAGAATCATTGGCTCAAAGTTACCCAATGAGCTTCCATGGTTGATGTTAGATTAGAATTTAGGTTTCTCCTGATGCCAGTCCAAAACCTTCAATATTATGTCACATTGGGCTTCAGTCATAATATTTTAATCAAAATGTGGTACTTTTAGAAAAAAGTTATAAAAATGGGAAGTAAATAAATAATGTTGTAAACTTTTATGAGTCAGGTTACAAATCCATATGCTGAAGACAGTATGCATGAGAGGATAAGAGAGGATAATCATGCTAGGATATGCAGAAAATTATCAAAGTGCAATGATACTTTCATACTAAATTAAATATAGTATAACAGTTTTGAGTAGAATGGTTAAAACTGTTAAGAGCATATACACAAATAAATATTTAATTTTCTAATTTAGATGTAATTTCTCAAGACTGTTAAAATAAAAAGTAAACATTTGGGGAAAAACAACCAAAATTGAAAGACAGTTATATGTAATGGGTAATGGGTAAAAAATAATATCAATGGTTTTACTCATGTTCACTCAGAAATAAGCTTGCAGAATTCAGTGAATTTTTTTTCAAGAAAATAAGCACAAGCAATACAGTTTAATTAACCAGGAACCTGATTATTTGGATTAATTGTGGAACCTATGCCATTCTGCCCTTCCACAAGTCATTGGATTCAATGATGCTACTTTCTAGACCAATAGTTTTCATCTCATGTTAAAATATGATGCTAATATAAACTTCAAAGTACATATTTTTTCTTATTTCACTATCCTGAAATCTCCCCACCCCCCATGCAATTTAACCACTCTTCCAGAAAGGTAGTTTCCTTCCTCTGTCATATTTCATGGAATCCTGTAAGAAGATTTTTTTTTTCTCCTGAGAGGGTATTTTAAGAGTGAATAGAAGGGCTAGGTAGAAGATAGCTGCCACCTCAGGCTGTTTAACATTTACACGGCAGTACCAAGTATTTCTCTACCTTGGCAGTAGTTGGGAATTCAACTTTGATGAAAGAGAGAAATAAATTGGAAAGGGCAGAAGACTGCATATTTATTACCATTTTAATAACATTCATATATTTAAAAAGATAGAAACTAAGTATTCAGTGAAGTTAACGCCGATATTAAAATTGGCTCATAACTGCTCTTTTTAACCTTTAAAATAGGAATCTTTGTTTTGTAATATAGATAAAGAGCAGAATTTTCTGTATTTCATCAATGAGAAAATTAGTTGTACAGTTGAACTGGACAGGCCTATTTCATGGATCTATAAATTTCTCCCTCTGATATTTAGGATTTATTTTACGGACTGAACATGCATTTTCAGCTGAAGGTATGTCTATAGACTATACATGTATATACATACATATATATATATACATACATACATACATACATACATACATACATGTATACATCTATAGACATTAAAGTTATTGTGATTTAATTATTTTTCTTGTTTTAAAAAAAATTAACGATCTTTGCACATGGAAAAATGAAGTTTCAATTAGCAAGATTTTTTTATCTAGCTTTCTTCTGGTTTGTTTCTTGTTTTCCATTCTAGGCGCTCTTATACTGCTTTTCTATCAATCCAAAAACAGAACTAAAACTGTAGTTTCTTATAGTACTTAATGTTTCACTCTATAACTGTATATAAAAATGCTGTTATGCTGTGAGCAAGAAAAGGTTTGTTCTGAAGTGATCCAATTCAAAAACTTTTTCTATAATTTTATTTAAAAACTTCTTTGTGGATTTAATGCTGAATTTGTTATACCAAATGACATACAGTAATTAGTCAATAGAACTTTTCATTTCTTAGTTGTATACCAGATTTTTCTTTCAAAAAATAATAAAGAAGTAATTAAAGCACTTCAGAATTTAAAACTACAAGGAATAAAGCTGACTAATTCAGGAGCGATTCATCAGTAATACTGCAGCATGTTATACAGGTAGTAATTAGAGGTTTAAAGATTATAAGAATGTATATATAAACAGTATAGAGTACTCTTGAAAAATTTTTAAACTTGTTTTAGTTGAACTTGAAATAATTTTCAAGCATTTTACTATTTTGAAAAAGCATTAGATTTTGAGAAAGTGTGAAATAATAATACAAAAATACTGTGGTTTTTTAAAGTGAAGTACAGCAAAAATCTGGTCAGTGAGTTTTACACACAACATGATCACTTCCTTATATCTTTAATATCCACTTTACTTTAAATTGAAAACTGGGAAAGTGGGCATAAATTCATGTTTCAAGACATTATAAAATCCATCTAAGAATCATTCCAAAGTTAATGTTTTGAGTGATATTAATAAATAAATAGTTTTGACTGATTTGATTAAACATCTGATAGGTAAATAGGTAACAAATCCAATATAATAAAGATTGAATGAAATGGAAATATTATTGTGATATTGCTGCAAAACAAATAAGGTTTTTCATATAAGATAACTCTTCCTATTAAAAATGTAAAGTGCTAAAATATATTGTCAATCTCAAAACCTCAAAAATTCTGTAATTTATATAGAATTGTATAAATATAATTAATATAAAATTATTAGACTTCTTCCTAGTCTTTATATATCAATAACAAAAATCAATGTACACATATGCGTATCAGGGAAATCTTTTATATGCTTTTTTTAAGTCCCTCTAAATTCAATAGTATTTCTTCATGTGAATATAAAACTACATTTTAAATTGGGACATAGTTCTTTTTATGCTACATCCTGGTATCATGTAATAGCTTCAGAGACTGATATTAAAACAGACTAAATTATATATTTTCTTTTTTAGTCTATCAATAACCAATAATACAAGAACACAGTTTAAAAAGTAATATTCTTTTTCTTACCTATTTTTTAATCATTTCAGCCACAGTTCTGAAATTCCTTTGCAGGTATATTTTCCCACTGAATTCTAGAAAGCAATTTTGGTAACGCAGCTCGGACTGCGTCATAGTCCTTTGTATTATACTATCTTCTTATTGAAATAAAGAAGAAAAAGGGAAAATTAAAATATCTTTAAAAATTTGATCATAAACATTTGTTTTTGTATTTGAAAATTATATTGAGCTCATTTTTTAGAATTGGGTTTTAATTTCTGAAAGCTTAATGAAAGGTTCATCAAACTTTAATCACCAATAAAAATTGCAGATTCTGTCACCTAGGGAACATTTATTATTTCAATGCTGAATAGTACATTGCTAATCTGCTAATCTGTATATTAGCACATTCCCCGTTAACATATTCCTAGAAGTTATTACTTCCTCTGAAACTATTAGGAGTTCACTGCCATACACCCCCAAAACAGCCCTATTTAAAGTCAGAAACATTTGTGATGACACACACTATTATTTATTTATTTAAAACATTTATATAGCCTCCCATCTTATATCTTATATCTCTACAGCTCCCTATCAGCAATTAAAACAGTATCAATAATAAAACAACATAATACATAAGCACATTAAAACCATAAACATTAAAAAAAAAACTGACACCAAAGTTAAACTTCCAACATACAGTCCCTCATAAAATCCTATCACCCACCTCCCTTTTTAATATTCCTTTAATATCCATAGATATTTGGTTTTCCAGCTGAGTTTTAACAATACACTAAATTTCAATTACATGAAATATTATGGGAGTGCTGATTAAAGTAACAATATACTTATTCTAGCTACTTACGTTTTTCCTTCTATTTGAAATTTGCAAATAGAAATTTGCATCATTAATCTGTTTTCCCTTATTCTATTTATACAATTCTTTATTCCAGGCAGAACAAAGTATTGATTTGTTTAAACCAAAGCCAAACAATAAAAATGTTAAGGAAGGTTAAAATTATTGTCTAATGATGATATGAAAGAATTTTTTTTAAAAAAAAAGGCTGAGAAAAGGAAAACTACTAGGCATCACTTTTAATTATTTTCTTTATAAATTTGATTAAACCATGTAAAATTATCTAACTTAATTTTACTTGAAGATACTTTTATATTTTAAGGTTTTTAAAATAGTCAATGTCAATATATTTTATAGCAACTTCTATTTTTTATTATGAACAGAGTAAATAAAGTATAAAAAATAATAATTTTCAGATATATATTTCTTATGAGAACTATCTTCCATCACACTGATTATTACATATTTAGTTAAACTGTATCCTTATAGGAACATGTTCCATTAAATATATAATTTAATTCTAACAATAATAATTCACAATTAATCAGTCAGCCAAATCAAGATTTCTTTTTCCATGTGCTTCATTAAATCTAATCTGCAGGAAAATGTATAGGATTTAAATGTTTTCCTATTATTATTTTCCATGTGCTGTTCCATAAACCAGCTATTGTTTCCTTTGTCTTTTTTTCTACAATTCCACATTCTTTATCTTTTTCTTTGTTATATATGGCATGTGCATACACATCACTGAAATATTCCCTGTCATATATTGGAATGGCAATATCACAGGTACTCCAGGGACAACCGAGTTAGCAAATAAAGCTTACAAAGAAAAAAAGCACACACACACAAACACACACACACACCAACAAAGAAGGAACACAGTGGAATATTTGTTTCACTAGTAAAACATATAAAGATTTCAGATCAAGTAATGAGATGGCTGAATATTCCCTAAATGATCTGGGGAATTTAGAGTCAGGATTATAAATCAGATATTGCTAGAAACTTCTATAACCATAGTCAAATATCTAAATATATAAACCAGAGAACATCCCTTAGCATACTACAAATAGGCACCGACTATATTTTCATGTTTATTTTATGTTACTTTTTTTGCACGACACATTCTAAGAAAACGTGGAAACTCTAGAGAATATGCTTGTAATTGGAGGGGGGTAGAATAACCATGGCAACAATTACCACATTCGCAACTGTTTTTAAAAAATAATTTCACAACATAATTAACAATGGTAATTGTGCAGACAGTAAACATCAAGAAAGCATCAAACACTAATGGAGTTATATCAAATGACATCTTGAAAATGAAAACTAAAATCTGTCTCTATATGGACAATGCAGTTCAGAAACAAAGCACATACCATTATCCATTCAGGTGCTCTACTTCTTATTCTGCCCACATAGTTCTGCAGCTCCATTAGTCCAAAAGTCGACTTTGCCCTGCTTCTGATCTTTATGGGTAACAACAGCATCACACTGTTGGCAATTTTTTTCGATTAAACTTCTCAGACACGGTAGCAACTTTGTTAATTATGATATTAGGCAGCTGGCGGGCACGATCAATCATCCACTATAAGAAAGCCAGACAACGAGACATCTAATCATTGCAACCAGAGCAGATAAATTTTGTTCCTTTCTTATACGTGTCAGAGATTCTATCCCTCCTGACCCCTGAACACTGCCATCGACTGTCAAATTTAGATTCAGCAAGCTCCCAGCTTTTCTTTATCCCTGCCTTAGATCTGAAAGTCCTGGTTATCAGGAAGACAAGCGTCACCAGCTGTCTCAGAGCAGGAAGGCAATCAGGTGAATAGTACTTATTATCTTTCATTGCTTGCTAAGGAATGACAAGATTGATTTGGGACCAAGAGCACATCCATATCTCAAAAACAGGCTTCAAGTTCAAACTATGATGCATATGTAAACCTCTACTGAGAGATTTCAAGGCTAACATTATTAACAAAACACACTTAAAAATTAGAAATTAGACAGAACCTCTTGAGCATCTAGACAATTACCCTTTAAATTATGACACAAGCTGTTCCCATGGACAAAATAGGTGTTCCAACTTCTATCCAGAGGTTGCTTTAACAAATAGATAGTCTTAATTGGACCCACAGAAGCAATAGGCTTCTATTAATGTCTTCTCTGTAGGTACCTTCTGTCTTAACTAGACTGATTGTCTGTGAATTCTTACAAATGCAAAGGGCACTACAATTCTATCAGTTACATTCCTAAATGGATGTGATATGTTAGGTAATATTTTATTTTTACTCCTGAAGCTACAAAATATATTGCTTACTTCAAATAGGAAGGAAGGTCAATACTGTAAGATTCTGATGGGAAAATTATCAAAAAAAAAAAATACATTCAGTAAACTATAAAATAATTTTAAAATGTAGTTAAAATATAAAGAACCAATCATAAAAATATTACACTAGGTTATGTAAAAATAACTAAAAACAAAACACCTTGAATAAACAGGATGATCTACAATATTAGCAGTTGTTATAGGTGTTATGAATAAAGTGACAATGTGAAACTCCACTTTAACATGTCATTATTGCAACAATAATTCACATTTTTGAATCAAAATATTCCTCAGCACTATATTTTCTCTTAAATAATTGTAGGGTTATGAGACAACCCATTTACTTAGAGTTGTCATAAAACTATTAAATTTATTATACTTTTCTTGAGAATAATTAGAAGATGGGACATGACTAAAAGAAGGAAGAAAGGAAAGATAAAAGAAAGGAATTCTTAAAGGAAATTCTTATATTACAAAGAACTAGTCATTAGACTAATGATGAAATAACATACAAGTACAAAATAGCCTGTTTCATCCCTAATTAATTACCCATTGGTAATTACTAAACATAAGAATATTTATCTAATTTTTAAAAGTATATTAAATAAATTCAGAATAAACAATAGGCCAAGTAAACAGCAGTATTAATTTGAATTGACTAACTCGATTAAGCTGTGCATTATGGATAAAAATGTACCCTAACTATGCCAAATAACAACGTTTATTCATGTTAAACCTCACTGAGTTTACTGTCTGGTAAATAGGCTGGATTTTATTTTTAAGATTATACAAAACAGCACACTGCTTTCAACAAAATATTGTTCCGTATATTCACTCATTGATGTTTGTCATCATTTCTTCCCAATGTTTTAACATATTCAGTTTATATCACTGTAGTCCACAAGATAGCAGAACATATTTTACAAAAATCATTGCCACATACATCCTATATAGAATGAAGAACTCACTGAAACCTTGACTGCTGAAATATATACATAATCAAATACATATGGGAAAAAAAGAAATAGTATCTCCAAGAAAGGGAAAATGTTTTTAACAATAGAAGTCTTGAAAAGAATTACACATAAAGTAAAAAGGATGGTATTACATTTCCAATGTTATGTCTCTATCTTCCACAGGTGAAAAGCTAATGCCTCATAATTAATATACAGGAAATTAAATAATGGATTACTTATAACCTAAAATGTAAATAATCTGTAATCATATATTACATCCTTTCCCAATGTGTAGCCTTCCATACAGATTTCAATATAGCTCCCATAATACCCAGCCAAATATTTTATTAATAGTAAACACTTTACATGAAAAGTTCTTGAGATTTTTTTTGCACAAAAAGAGACCTCCATACATGGGTGTCCGTTGATTGTTTGATTACTGTGAATTCCAAGTGTCACAATTCTGTGATAACACAGTGGAACTATGCATTGATCTCTATTAAATGTAGGGTGCAAACCCTGATAATTAAGTGAAAATCCAACTTTCATTCATGATTCACGATAATCATTGTCAAATATTGAGCTGAATGCCATAAGGTTCAGTCCAATACTATTCTACATTTTTAAGAATTTTCATTGCAAAATTATACTGGAGTGTTAGATTGAATCAGTTGAAAACAATAGTTCTGCATTTAGGAAACAAAGTGAAATATACAGGTATAGTTTGAGAGATGCTAGATTAGTAAATAAGATCTTGGAACAGCAGTTAGTTTTATACAGAGAATGAGTTAAATATGTGATATGACTGAAAAAAACAGGTTGCATCAACAGAAATATTATTTCCAAATTATTGGAAATAAGAGTTGTATCTCATAATGAATACTAGAAAGAAAATGCTCTGAAGAGAGATAAAAAGAATTAGGAATGTTTAGCTTTGACAAGAAAAGCATGCAAAAGTATGATGATGACACTTTCCAAATATCTGAAAGGATGCGAAATTCAAGGAGGATTGCTATTGTTGCAGAGTGAAAGACACAATAATGGATTTAAATTATAGAAAAACAGTTCTATTTCAGTGTTAGAAAAATTCCCAAAGAGTAAAACACTTGAAAAACAGAACCAACTATTCTGAGAAGTGATTGATTCCTTCACTTGATTTATTCAAGCAGAACCTTGATAGCATTGATGGCAATGCTTGAGTTTCAACTCCAAAACTAAGAAAATTGGATTCAGTGGTATAAAAAGCCCATTCTCACTCTGTGATTCTATAATTCTTCTAATCTGTATTTAGCAACTGACATTCAGTATGCAATACTATAGTATTTTTAAATGTAACATAAATTGCTTACTACCAGGAGAAGGCAAAGCCCCCAAACTCCATTGAAAGTCCTATAAGGGACGAAATAATGTTACGTTGGAGCTGAGGGAGGAATTCCATTTTTCTGGAGTTCTCAGTTGCATGGAAATACTGGTTTCCAAAATGTGCATTCAGTGGGTTTGAATGGGATCACACATTTATTCAACACTGTAGCCATGTTAGAAACTGCTCACTAGCTTAATGCATCCATTAGCAAGTAGAATTATCCCATATTAATTATTCTTGTTACTGAAACAATATATTTAATTTTATGCAACTAAATAGCCAAGCTCAGAGCTCAAACAACAGCCTAACTACCAAACCGAGCTACTAATATTCAAACACATTTCAATATATTTAATTATATTGAATTTAGGCTTTTAATCTGAAAATACTATTTTTTTATTTTTAAAAAGTCCCAATAATCAATGAATTTATATTTGTAATGTAGAGATTGATGCTTCAAAATATCTCACAACAGTTATACAAGGAGCCGTAAATGTCAATTCACTATTATAATGAATATTATTAAAAAATATTCTAAGACAAATGCCAGCATAAACCAAATAATTAGTATGTTATAGTATACAACTATACTGGAATCTGAAATATTTTATTTATCAGTATAATTGATATTTAAATCTCATATAGAAGGTAATGGCAAACCACTTTGGCAAAACTTTGGCAAGAAAACTGCAGGGACTTATCCAGTTTCAGACACAACTGAATGAAAGAAAAAAAACCCAAAGTATTTCAACTGCAGAAAATTACCAGTTCATTCTGATAATTTGCTTCGGTACACATGTGTGAAATATTTGTATTTATCCATTTGCTTTGTTCATAATTTTGATTTTATGTAGTTATATTGCAGGTATCAGCTACATTTGACATGAATGGAAAGAGACTTCTATTTATTTACCAATACATACTGGATTGCATTGAAAGTATAGAAAGGAAGTGTACTATAGTGATAATGATGTTGGAGTGTAATTGGAGATATCAGGTAGAAGTCCTTTCTTGGTCATGGAAGGTCACTGATGATTTTAAACCAGTAGCTGTCTGTCTGATCAAATTATCAAATTATTGTAATGGTGAAATCTAGAAGAGGGAAGTTTGAACTTCTTCCTTAAGAAAAGGCAGGATGAAAATCGAAGAAACAAATTAAAACTCATTTTTGAGAGATTTTAAATATGCTCAAAAGTATTGCCATAGGATTTAACTCTAACTACTTACTATAAGTCTTAGTTTCATGTATTTTTTTATAAGATTGCAGCAAGAAGGAAGAAAAGTTCTACTGTTGATCATATTTCATAACTTATTCTACTACATGGACCCTTCTGCTGCAACTACATGTATATTTTATTCAAAAGCAGAATGATGTGTCCTTGAGCTGAAGTTCTAATGCAAATCTAAAAAGAGACATCTGGAAAATTTGCTATAAAGTTCTGCCCCCAACCCTTCAAGAAACCTTCAAAGCTGGATTCTTTCTAATAGATTATAAAACTGTACTACTGCCAATTTTTTTTTTAAAAAGAAATGTTTGGTTCAGTGCAAATAAAATACACTAGTGCCAATCTTCATTTTTATTTGAAGCTGATGCCTATCTCACCTCTGTAGAAATTACATGGAATAACAGTATCAGTAACTGCAGTAGATTCAAATTATAGAAGAAAAAGAATAAAGTGAATACAAACACTCAGTTAACCCATTCTTTATTATAAGCTTTATAATTTTAGTAAACTGAATACACCCTACTCTACTAGGCTACAATCCTAAAATCATTAAGAACTTTCTTACATATAAAGCTAATTGGTTTAAACACTCCAACAGTGCCCAAAACAAATGAACGTGTATGTCAATATGTGCATACATGTACTGAAAAAAGACGCAAATGAAACTAATAAGTATTTTGATGATAGTGTATCAAATGTGTGCAATTAATTGTA